CAGGGGCTCTGGAGCTGGTGGAAGCCCGGGGGTTGAGGAGCTCGCCGTACGAGTGGTAGTCGAAGGCCGGGGGCTGGGCGGGCTGCATGCCCTGCGCGCTCAGCAGCGAGTGCAGCATGTTGACCGTATCCTGGTAGTCACTGGCCTGGCTGGCGTTGTGCCCGTTGGCCCCTGTGGGACCCTTGTCCGATTTGCCGTGGGTGCCCCGGGCTTTGGTGGCCTGGGGTAAAGGGAGGTTGCCCGTATCAGAGCTGTGGCCGGGGAGGTGGGCGGCCCCGGGGAGGTGGGGGTACGGGAAGGGCATGGCAGGGCCTTTGGAGACTTTGCTGACTTTGGGCTGGTGCTCATGGGCTGCGGCGGTGGCCGTGACCATGCCTGATGCCTCCTCTGGCAGTGGCCTCTTGCGGGAGGAGGCGAGGGGACCATAGCTCTTGTGGGGCACGGTGCCAGGCTGGCCGCTGTGTTTAGAGTCTCCGGGGCGCTTGTTGGCCACGCTGCTGGGGCCAGCGCCGAGCTGGGTGTGTAAGTGTTTGTGAGAGTGGTGGTTGTGGTGGTGGTGGTGGTTGGAAGAGTGGCCCTTGTGTTTCTCCTTGTACTCGCGGTTCTTGGCGCCGCTCTCCTCCGCGGAGCCGTGCCTCTCTGCCGCGGTCGGCACCTTGATCCGCATTTTGATATCTTCCTGCTTGGAGGTGGGTGGCCTCTCCCCACTTCCACCTGCTCCTGGGACCCTCAGCTTCAGAGCCGAGGCTTTGTCACTCTTTTCGGGGGCGGGAGGACGCTCGAGGTTCTCCGGGCCTCCGATGGGGATCTTCAGGACGATGGCAGAAGGATTGCTGTCCTGCTGGGCTTCTCTCTCCCGCTGCTGCTGAACAAGGAGGTTCTGGGCCGCGTAGGCGTACTGGGACCGCACGTTGGCCTCCATGTTCTCCAGCTGCCGCTTCTGCGCCGCCAGCTCCTCGGCGTGCTTGGCCCGGTACTCCTTGAGCGACACTTTGGCTGCCGGGGTGCTCTTGACGCTCTGCTTCTGATAGCCAGCGCCATCTTGCTGCGAAGGATGCTCAGCAGCCGAGGAGCTTTCGTTAGTCCTGTGGCTCTGGCCGATTTCCAGCTTGGCCGGAGGATGCCAGTGCTCAGTCTGGGACGCATCGGCTCCGCTCTGGTCGCTGGGCGAGTCGGCCGCGGCCGGCAGAGACGGCCCAGCGGTGGAGGATGTCGACATGCTCATTAACCCAGCAATGTTCATGTCCGAACTATTGTTCCTGGAAATCATGTTGAGGATTGTCTGCTCCGACAGGCTCTCGTCTTCGCCGTGGTCATCAACCTTTGACTTCTTGGCTGCTTGAGAGGCCTGGAATAAAAGCAGCGACGAGACACTTAACTCTGGGGTGTCACCAGAGCTGGTTTGGTGCAAGCAGCTCACCCGCAACAGCCCAAACTCTCATTTAAAGACAAGATCCACCTTGTCCCCAATCCCGCCTTGTGGGAAAAGACTGAAAATCTGAGGTCTCTACAGGGTTAATTCAGAACTGACAAACTCGAGCTCGCAGATGCAGAGTGTTCACGTTTCCCCTACCCCCAAACACGCTCGTGCCATTCAGACACTGTCTCACATTGTCATAGCGGAGACGCCACACAGGAAAAAAATCAGACCCTGCGCTCTCCTGCAAGCACCCCAGTCCAAAGCAGATCCTTACCCGCCAGTTTCGGATGCGTTTAAGCCGGTTGGGAGTTTTCTCAAGAATCTGCAGGAATTCATGAGTCAGTTCTGCAGAGGAGACACAAACCCAAGCAAGAGAGTCAGAGGCGGGCAGACCAGCAGTATCCGTCAGGGCAACCCCCCTCCTTAACTCATGGATGGAGCTACTGATGAGATGGAGCTACTCCAGGAGGGGAAATACTGAGAACTCCTATCACTGACCACATTTAAACTCATCTCACTGTACGCTTTTTGCCATCTCTGTTGTACTACAGAAGCTGCACTGGAAACCTTGGCAAGACCTGACGTTCTGGAGTCCATGAACCGGCCGGTGGCCGCAATTTGAATGGCAGACCCAGGAACAGAGATGCCAAAATAATGCAAGAGCCTTTGAGGGGGAGGGGGGAAAACCTCGCTCCAAAACTTACCATCTAAGAGCTCCAGAGTTACAGTGCCATCAACGTATTCCCACCAGTGCTTCCCGTCCGTAGAGACTGGGATCTCCCAGTTGGACCACTTACAAGCCAGGTGGATACAGACGCAGGCCACAACGGGAGGGGTGTACTGCAGGCTGAAGGTGGTCAGGTGCAGGCTGAGTCACCAGCAGGGAGAGAGAAACAGAAAGCCATGAACTCCCAAGCCTGAACTTCAGCACTCACAATCGCCCACTGAACAGACGCTGCACAGGAGATGGATGTGGTGGGGACGTCCCTGCCATTCCTCCCCCAGTACAACCCTACTGTTACAGGCGTCTCTATCCTGCTCCACCGAGCGGTACGCTCCTTCCCCGTGCTGCTGCAGGACATTTGGGTCCAGGCAATTCTGTCAGCTCAAGGCTCTGCTATTCCTTCCCCTGTGCTGCTGCAGGACGTTTGGGTCCAGGCAATTCTGTCAGCTCAAGGCTCTGCTGCGACTCAAGTCTCCTCCGAGGGAGAAGGCCAAGGTCCCCGCCAGCCCCCACCTCTGCTGTGGGCTCTGCTCCATCTTAGAAGAAACTCAAGATACTTCCAAATGCAGTTCCTGGGATGGCGTTCAAGGAGCAAACTGGCCCTCCCTGGCTTTTAGGAAGGGACTGGTCTTTCCCAAATGATTTTTAGGAAGCTTCGGCCGTGAACAGCACCATACACTGGAGTGACTCAGGAGCACCTACAAGGAAGCCTGGCTACCTCTCAAGCATTTTCATTAGTAAATTAATTTGCCATGTGACAGCTCAGATGTCATTGCTGGGAGGTGGAGGTAGCATTGAGAACAGGAGAACTGATGCACGCTGCTCTCTGCCTGCAGAACACCAGCTCCACTGAGCCTTAGAGATGGAGACAGCGAGTGGAGCACAGGATTTGCCCACTGTCAGGCCCCTGAACCAGCCCTTCCAAAGAGCGCTCGATGGAAACGGTGCCACTGAGCACCTACACACAGCTACAGGATGGCATTGTCTTCACCATGCTCAGCTCATTAAACATTTTTCCCCTCAATGCAATGCAGAGAGGCAGAGATGTGCATTTACAGCCAGAAAAGTCTGAAGCCGCTTCATGGACACTGAATTTACCCGAACACCAAAAAGTCAAACCCAGGAAATTCAGAGCCTTTATCCAGTCTGCCAAGGTCAGAAGGGAAGTTAAGGTGCACAAAGAGCCTTAACTCTGCTCCATAATGAATTCCAGAAAGAAACTGAAGTCAAACATCTATAGCTAAGCCTGATAAATCTAGTTCATCACTTAAGCACCTTAATCAAGCATTTCCTGGCATCACTTTAAGGCAAAATTGAGGCTGCCTGGCTGCATTTTTACTTTCTGCCTGGATTTCTTTCAAGTATAACCTTAACTTGTAATTCCTTGGTTTTGCAATTATTGCTGCAGGGATAAAACGCATTTCAAGGATGCATTTACCAACACATTACTAACATCACCTTCCCTTTATGCCAGTTCACCCAGGAAACCCACACAGTGCCCTTTAGAGCTGGAGAGCACCTTCCACAAACATTTCTGCCGGTGCGTGTGGCTGTGAGCAGGTAACACCTCTCATGGCAGAGAGGAGAGAAAACCACTCACCCCAGACCACACAGATCCACTGCTCAGCCAAGGCTCAGGAGCATTCTCTGACTCTGCTGCTTTACCTCTGCTAGCACCTAAAACCACCTTTTTCTCCCACCCTTTCAATTCTGTGAGCTCCCTCACAAAACCACAAGATTTTCTACGCCCACAATTTGATCCATTGTTTGGGCATTAACTCCGTGATTTGCCTGAAACTGGTAATCCAGGAAATTAAATGTAAAAACCAAAAAAGCCATTAAGGCCCAATACAAGGGCTGCTATCAGCCTTGCAGCGAAAATCTAGTGACAAAACTACCCAGACCTCTCAAGGTGAAAAAAACAGAGGCTTTTTTTCCCTTTCCAAGACTCTACTTACAGGACGGTCTCTCCAGTCACAGAGGCCAGATGAGGTTTATCCTTTTCTCCTGCAACACCTCATGTCTGCAGGCAACTACCCTTTTTTCTCCCTTTATACTCCAGGTCAGCCTTCTTTGGGATACAGACCACGTTTGTTGACAATTTGCACAGCATCTAATTCAGTGAGAACTCTCTGACACGTGGGTACTAAGCAAGTAAAAATACATCCATTTCAAGTCTACCTTTTTTGTTTTAACTTTCACAATTAACTCCCCAAAAAAGAAAGCAGAGAAGCTCCTGAGCATCCCATCTGCCTCGCTTATCTGGCCCATTTTGCAGCTGGTAGCAGGAGAAAGGGGTCCTTGCTCTTTCTGAACCAAACTGAGCAATCCCCAGTTCTCACAGGCTGAGCGATGCAGCACATCTCCACCAGACCCTCTGTCAAATATGAATCAATCGTAAAATAATAACCTGTTGGTAGCCATGAAATAGGAGGTTTGTGCCAAGTCCTTGCTGGCTGAAAGAGAAAAGGAAAAAGCAGGGCATCAGTCTGCAGAACCTGACAAATATTACTGTATTTTAATGTAAGAAAACCACAGGCCTCTCACCACCACACACACAATGAGACACACAGCCTGTCTCAACTGACTACATCACAGCTAGAAGGATTTTAGAAACTGCTGTACACAGAGAGCTTCGCATGGCTCAGCAGAGCCACAACATCGTGTCAGTCGTTTGCAATTGCCTCTATTTTGACATTTGTTATGGTTATAAAGGAGACTGACTGCAGGCCAGTTCTTGGGCAGTCCCAGCTGAACACTGCAGTGTATTTTCACGGCCCATCTCTATCAAGCTGAGGTTACACGGAGTAGAAGGATGTCTGGCACCACTTACCTCGCACTAGCTGTGTGCACTTCACCACGTGGGTGTGGGGGTGGTCAATAGTGATCTCAAAACCTGAAAGAACACAGACATATGGCCATCAGAAAACCAGCAGCACACCCCCACGGATCTACGAACCTCACGTTTCCTGTTCCTGGGGGACAAGGCCTTCTCCCCTTCCCTTCTACAGCTCCCGCTCTCCGCTCGGAGGCAAGCAGGAATAGAGGAACCCATTTTCCTGTATCCAGAAGACTCAAGTTCTCCAGTCACAAAACCCGAAGGTCACTGCTGCTGCCAGACCTCCAAGCAGCTAAATGACTTCTGTGCTTGAAAGACCTCACTGAAAACAAAACAACTATTAAGGATTTTAAAAATAGCAGGACAAAGCCTCTTACAGCAGCTGGGAGGAAGGAGAAGACAATGGCATCTGCTCAAAGGAATTTCTGTCACCCAAAAAGCTAAGAGGAAGCAGACGTTTTCCCCTTTGAAGGAGCCTACAGCACTACAGACAACTGAACTTAATCCTCGCTTCAGTTTCCTATTCATTTTGGGCATTATGTTTTAAAGAAAAAAAAAAAAAATAAAAAGAATTCAAACTGGTCCATGTGTGCAACAGATTTGATTCTTCCCATGCAGAACATTCTAGAAGAACCGAGACATTAAAAAAGGCAACTGGAGAACCGAGTCATTGCAGAACTGAGGTCACAGTTTAGCCACTAGCTTGCCAGGCCAGTGTGTACGACCCGTCGAGACACTGCCCCTCCAGTCCCCCGGCCAGTGAGGAACTAGTGACATCTCATCTGAACCAAGTCAGAAACAACAAAACCCTACTGAATGTTTTGGAGTGGAACACTACCTACAAACTGCCTCTGAAATGCAATAGATGTTAGTAAAAACAAGTTTTAGCAGTACATTTTAGAAAGGAACAGGATACCAGATCCAACAGCCACAGCCCTAAATGTAGGCTCCAGCTTCTACTTTCAAAAAAAAACCCCAAAAACTGTTGCTGGTTGGTTTTTGGGTTGTTTTGTTTTTGGTTTTTTTCCCCACATTCAGCTATCTGATCAAAATATTAACTTTCAACCCAGGTTTCATTAGACATCTCTCAGTGCAAACTCCTTCCTGGTCACAGGACTAGAGCATTATCGAGTTCAACAGCACAAGGGAGGACAGCAACCAGTGTCCCAGCAGTACAAAACCTGTTGTGGGGGGAAAAGAAGAGACGAGCCACACTTCCACGCTTTAATTGCTCTGAGCATTGAAACCTGCCACCAGTTACACCTGAAAAAATCGACGTTAAAAGGAAAACAGGAGTGGGTGTGAAAAATACGAGTTTGTTGCCTGGACTCTTGCTCTCCCACGGGTACATCTGCCCTCCAGCTGTGGAGAAGACTGTGCGGTTAGGCTCTCCGCTCTGCGGAACACTCCTGGGTCTGGGATTCGTGTGGCAGCCCGTCCGCTTTGAAAAACTTACCCAGGGTCTGCAGTATTATGCTCTCTAGAATGACCAGGTCTTGGGCTTGTTGCAGGTAAGCCTGGGGTTGAGAGGACAGGCAAGTTACTCATGATGAGGCACTCCGTATAAAGCCTGCACATTTCTAACACCCTTTTCTCAGGGAGGCAAAAATAGCAAAGGGGAATCTTTATGCCGATCTGCACTGGGGGAACTGGCACAGATTCCCTGCCAGAAAAGAGAAAGCAGAGTGCTGGGGCAGACCCACTCCCCTGCTAGTGCTTCTGCTAGGGGATGGCTGCTTCGGGATCCACAGCGGCCCTCTCAGTCCTGGTCCCTCGCACTGCACGGGGTGGCTATATGAGCAGTACAGGAAAGGAATTAACAGCTTTTTTTTTTTTTCCTTAAGCCTTTCTGGATAAAGCTGCCCCTTTTCAGCAGGGTTGGCTGCTCAGTCCCAGGTAAGACGGGCTGTCTCAAGAGATGGGGAATTGGCAACTTTTTTTAATAAACCCACCATTAAACACGTGGGGACAGAACAGAACCAAACTGCACACACCACCTTCTGCTCTGCCACAGGCACTACTCAATCACAGCAGCCAACATCCATGCCCTCCTCAGCAGCTTTTCACACAGGCACCGTTACAAAGCACATCCGAGTCACATTTGCAGCAGCACAGCAGAAGAGAAGAGAGGTTGCCACAGAGCAGGGGAAAAAAAAAAAGCCTTCTGCTGTACAGAAGCCCAAAAAGCTCTCAGTAGCGTTAAGAGCAGTCAAATTGGAAAGCTGTCACTGACCATCCTAGGACCCAGTCGCTCACTTAGCGAGCGGACGCTGCTGAACCCGATTTAAGGAGACGCTGTAGCCACGCGATTCGGGACGTAGCGCTGCCATTCCCACTCCTCGTGCTCCTCACACCAAATCCAGTTCTCCACTCTCAACACTTACCTCACTCTTGGTGTCTAGAGGAGGTTCCTGGGGGTGCAGACAGGCATGTGCTACCTTGAGAACGTAATCCAGCTTGCGAGGCTGCTCCTCCACCTTGGCTGCCAAGAACAGAGCTGCTGGTACCACCGACTTCAGAGAAAATAAACATTTTTTTTTTAGAAATTTAATAAGTTCAAGATTAAAGCAAATGAATTAGGCTAATTCTCAAGTCTAAAACAAATATTCCTTTAAGAAACAAAGCCTGTGCGAGTCCCAACACCACCAGGAGGGAAAAGGGTCTCTGGTGACTACCAGCAGCTACAAACCACCCTTCCTGGATCAAAGCCTCCTCCCCAGGGGTAGTCCCACCGTGCCACCCCCCAAGCTGGCTGCCAGGGAGCAGCAGGAGCAGAGCTGGGGGGTCCCAGCACCCCCCACCCCACCAGACCCCAGCACACTTACATTCCTGTGGAACTGGGTGAAGGACTGCACCATATAGAAGCGGTGCATGTACACGATGGCTGTGTTGATGGTGAGTTGGGAGCTGATGGAGCGGTTAAGGAAGCACACGACCCCAGCGACAACCCCTGGGCAATACCCTCAACTCCCCTACATCTCACCGGGCCAGACCTCGCTCTCCCCGCTCCCGAAACGCACTTGGCTCAGCTCTCCCTGCTCCCCGGCTGGACCTAGTCCTCCCCACACCCCGGCATAGCTCTACCCGTGCCCAGCCTAGCTTCCCCCGCACCCCGGCATAGCCATCCCAGCTGCTGGGACGGACACGGCTCTCCCCGGTCCTAAAACACACCCAGCTCTATCCACTCCCGGGCCCAGCTTGGCCTCCCCCGTGCGCCGGCGTAACCGTCGCCGGTTCCAAAACGCGCTCGGCTCTCCCCACTCTCAGGCCGGGCCCGACCTTCCCCGCAACCCGGCATAACTGCCGCCACTCCCGAAACGGCTCTGGATCTCCCCGCTGCCGGGCCCGGCTCTCCCCGGTCCGAAAAACGGGCTCGGGCCCTCCCTATTCCCGAAACGGGCCCGGCTCTCCCCGGTCCCAAAACACCAAACCGAACGCCGTCCCGGCTCCCGGGCAGGGCCCATCCCCGCACTCCGGCACAACCGTCCCCGCTCCCGAAAACAGGGCCCTGCTCCCCCCCGGCCCTCCCCGCAGCCGGACTTAGCTCTCCCGCGGCGGCCAGGCCCATCCTGTCCCGCGGCGGCAGTACCCGAGCGCAGGCCGCGCGGCCTAGCAGGGCCGGATACACGTTGAGACGCTGCCCCATGTCCTGCAGCAGGTTGGCCGCCTGCTGCCGGTACGAAAGCTCCTTGTCGGGGTCGAGCCCAGCGCGCCGGGAGGGGCTGCGGTCCAGCTGCTCGCGGGTGAAGTACCAGCGCCGCCCCGCCGCGCCGCCGGCACCGCCGCCCGCCGAGGCCTCCATGGCGATCTGCGCCCGCGCGCGCACGCACGCACCCAACGGACGCCAACGACGCCCCGACGTCACAAGGGCGGCGGCGCGCGCGCACAGAGGCGTCTCCGGGCGGGGCGGCGGGAGGGGGAGGCGGAGGAGAGAGAGACCTGCGCCCTCCGCCGCGCCTGCGCGTCCCGACGCACTAGCGTTGCTAGGGGGCGTGGCCAGGGGTGACCGCTCCCCGGGGGCGTGGTCAGGGGTGACCCCTCCCGGAGGCGTGGCCAGGGTGTACCACGCCCTCCCTCCCCTTCCCGTCAGCCCCCGCGGCG